AGTGGGCAAAGCAGCACCCAAACCAGTTACCTACTTGGTGACCGTGACCCATGCCAAGGGCTGCCTGCAGCGGACCAGCAGCACTCCACTGCAGGGTGCTGCTCAGCTTCTCGCTGCTCCCTTGCAGACAGCTCCACCTGCACGCCCTGCCTGGAGCACCAGTGGTCCCCCGTCCGCAGCGCACGCTGTTACGACCGCAGCGAGAGATACCTCTTCTGGAACGAGCCGCTCGCCCTCGCCTTGCTAACGCTGATGGCCCTCACCGTATCCCTGGCTTGTCTGGCAGCAGTGCTCTTTCTCAAGCACCTGGAGACCCCCCTCGTGCAGGCTTCCGGGGGCAAACTGAACCTCTTCGCCTTGTCCGCGCTCGTGCTGCTGGGTCTCAGCTGCTGCCTCTATATAGGGAAGCCCAGTCACAACCTTTGTAGGATCCAGCAGGTTGTCTACGCCCTGTGCCTCAATGGTTGCTTCTCTCCCTTCTTCCTCAAGTCCCTCGAGATCACCCTTGTGACAGAGTTCCCTGGCTGTGCCCCTACCTTCTTGTACTGGGTGACGCAGAGGAGGGCCTGGCTCCTGGTCGCCTTGTGCCTCCTCACCGAGTGCCTGTTCTGTTTCTGCTATCTCCACTTGGGCCCGGACTATCTGGCACCTGATTACAAGTCGCTGCCCACTGAAGTTCTGCTCGTGTGTAACACCAAGTCCTGGTTTGCCTTTGCCCTGATGCACGGCTACAACGGCTGCTTGGCCCTGGTCTGCTTCCTCTGCACGTTCATGGTCCAGACTTCTGGCAAGAAGTACAATATTGCCCGGGGGATCACATTTGCCACCCTCGTCTATTTAATCATCTGCATCTTCTTCGTTGCCATTTTTGCCACGCTGAAGACAGTCCTCAGGTCTGTTACTCAGATCGGTACCATTTTGGCAACCAGTCTGGGTATCTTGGGGACCTACTATATCCCTAAATGCTACATCATCTTGCTTAAGCCTGATCTGAACACAGTGGATTATTTCCAGAACTCCATCAAAGAGGAGCCAGGGGAGGACTCGATAAACAGACAATAAGCCAGATCTGTTGTCACCTGCTCCTCAACAGAAGCTGTCTGTATTTTAATGAGATAATTCTGTTTACGACGACTCTGTAAGCTGTGGTCCCAGACACCATCACTGTATCAAACACGGCCCTACCCAGCAGGCTGAACACGAGGAGCAGAATTTTTAAGTAGAGCCCTGTGCTTCTGCAGCTTAAGGAGCGAAAGCAAACTGCCCCCAGCAGAGCAGCGTCCATCCTCTCTGTAGCTACCCACCAGTTTCATCACCCACAAGGAGCCCCAAGCAGGTTCAGTGAAGCAAGCAACCCACAGTACCGGTGCTCTACATGAATCTCTTGGGTCTGGCAACCTGAGCTAGAAGCCTCAACACAGACCACTCTCCTGTAAAGACCGCTGGCAATTCCCTCCTCTTATTAACTAGATAATAAAAGACATACCCATGAATCCTTTCCCAGGCCTTATACGAACTTTCAAATATATTCAACACCACGGAAATGCTAACTAGAGAAACAGAAGGGAATCGCCTGAAAAGGTGTGAGGTTATAGACCACAAATAGAAATCCCTGTGATTAACTAGTGATACTGAGTCCCCACCCACACAGGATCCTCTGCAAAGACCTTCTCCTAGCGAGCCACATCAGAAAACACAGCTCCTACGCAGGCCTGCTCCTGTTAGACACAGGAGGTGGATGAGGAGAGGGAGGTAAGAGACAGAGAGAACCAAAGGTCCTGCACGCTGCTCTGTAACTGCGGTCTGGACACCCTGCGTGTGCTTGTGCATGTGCTTTATTAAAAGCGGAGTCAATGACATCCCACAGCTCTGGGTCTCTTTTCTAGTGGTTACAGCCAATGCAAACCTTCCACCACCCAGACTGTGAAACTGTATCGTTCTAATGGCCACCAGGATCCTTAAGACAACCCTTCCCCATTGTCCTTGTAACTAAGGTTCTGTGACGGAGCACACGGACCCTCTCTTCTATTTAACCAGAGGGGCTCTGACTTGCCAGCATGGCACTGAGTTAGGTTTGCTCATTTTTAATTGAGGCTCAGAGGATAACTCCATGTATACCTTTCCGGGTAAGAGCACAGGCAAAGAGTACACACAGAAACCGGCAGGTCATACACAAACTGAAGTACAGGGAAACAACCCTGTTCCGATCAAGAAGCGCTGACTAGTTTGACTCTTAAATAAAGTGAAAGATGGGAAGGCTAAGCAAAGCTTCTAACCCTAACCATCGCTCTTCTGCTTCGCGATAGCGACAGTACCTTGCTGCAGCTACTAACCGAGAACTGGTCCTTATGTATCGAGTGTTGAAATAAAACACAAGCAAGAACTTGTGTTTCTCAAGAGATTTCACAGTTTCACTTCGAGTCAGAATCTCAGTAAAACTGAGATTTTTTTTTCATATAAATTGTATCGTAAGAGTTTAGATATCATAATGGAAATATTTATCATAACTTCGTACTTCTTTTACAATATGAATTTCAGTTTTGATATCCCTGTCGTGAAACAAAAAGCTGAACTTTCTAAAGCCAATGTTTACATTTCTGTTAAGTAACGATTCCTACGGAAAACATTTTGACTTTGACTACTTTGTCACAAAACTTTTAGAAACTACTCGGATACGTAAAGGCAGCTGTATGCAGGATGTAAAGAGCAGATTACCCATTCAAATTGCAACTGGCTCATTTGTGTTTCATTAACATGTGTTTGCAAGGAGCACGGAAACGAGGACAAGCCTGGAAACAAACCGTGTGCAAATCACGCTATCCAAAGGCACAGCACGAAGTTCCTCCCATCTCAAAACCCAGCGTGTCCTCCGCCACCTACTTGCAGGGCGCAGGTGGCGGTGAGGTAACACTGCTACGCCTCTCCACGAGCACACTGCTGGATCACGAGGCACCCGACAGCCTCACAGCGCTGCTGGACGGAAGCTGCTGTCGCTCTGCTTTACTCCTCTGGATTTTCGAGGTCTTTCTAAGTGTTTGCTGCAGAGCTAACCCGATGCAGCTGCGTACGCAGGTGATACAAGCTGAGGAACTGGGTCTGCTTTGCTCCCCTTATCGTTATCCCTGCCCAACAGAGTTCCAGCAGCAGCATTTCTTTTTTTACCTTAAATATTTTCAGAGCTAATGAGGATGTCTGGCAGTTTTGGTCCTTATAATACAAAAAAAAAATACACTGTAGAACGCAGTAAGCAACGTGAGTACACTTTTACTCACATTTATTACTCACATGGACTTTTTAATCACACACCTCTCTACTTCCAAAAGGCTGGAGAGAAACCAGCCAGCCCAGAGCAGATCCCCGTGGCAGAGACCACGCAAGGGAAGACAGGCAGCACCCCGGACTGCACAGCACCACGGAATTCATCGACAACATCTCAGTGTAACTTCCATACCACAAGGGTTGCCACGTGTACTGCTGTAACGCGAGGTGGCTAATCAGGTGCGCTGCACTACCAACCACCAGCCAACAGTTGTTACTCAATATTAGCCACTTCGTGCCTCTTCACGTCAAGGAAAGTTACTTTTCCTAGCAGTGCAGACGCAATGCAGGAGGGGGATTTATCTTTTACCGCGCTGTATCACGGAGGAACGCTGGCAGTAGCGCTCCTTCAGTTCAAAAGCAAAGGACACAACTTGATCCAACACTTTTTAACCCAAGCCATCATACTCATCTTTTCATAAACCTGGTAAAAGTACAACCGGACTCTAACGCAGTTGTTAAACAAATGATTTCATGTCAGGGAAATTAAACAACCAGCCAAGCACAAGTACTGTCTCAAAGTGAAAGCAGAAATGTTTTAGTAAAGGCAGTTCACAGGAATTTTTTTTTAATCCTTTAAACAATCTTTATTCTACACTCCTTTTGCAAAAAATTGCGTCAGTGGAAAAACAAGAAAGGTGAAAAATGGAAAAACTTCCACATTATTTCACGTTACTACCAAACAGTAGCAAGCAAACACCAAGTCACATCGCTAAGATCTTTTCTTTTCCCCACCCACTTTGACGAGCAACTGTATGCTCCTTTATTCCCCACATCAGACTGAAAGTTTTTCCATCTATCCACTATGTGGTATTGGAAGTTAACTCATCGATTCAGCTCAATTAAAGAATTTGCAAATTAATCTAAACCAGGGAATATTTTCATTCTTAAAAAAAAGGAGCTTTCTGGTGCACTGCAAAACCAGCTGTCCTAGATTTCCGTGGCTTCCTGCACGTAAAATTCTCTCGGCATACTGACAAACACGTTGGACAAAAGCACTCCTCAGTGGGATCAGAGATAGCAAAAATCTGACCTGAAGACTGGAAGTCCTTGTCTCTGGAGGCTGCAGCAAGTCTTCGTGAGCGTATCGGTGCACCCGAGAACCTCAGCAGTACTCCTCACTTCAGCGCTGCGATTTCAGAGCAGGGAAGCGTTCGGTAACTTTTGACCATCATCATTCCAGAAACAGAGAAGGAAAAAAACCCAAATTTACCTCTATTGCCTCTCTTTGTGGCAGCAGAGCTATGGCCACACTAGACTGGTTTTTCTCTGCCTTTAAGGGGAAAGGGCAGGGGGAGGAAGGGAAAAGAGGCTGATTACATTGTTCAACCCGTTCCAGTCACCTGCAGACAATTCACACTAGGTCAGCTGGAGCCCATCAGGCCCTGCAGTAAAAAGCTGCAAAGAGCACGTCCAAACTTCTGATCATTTAATATTCACCTGGGAAAACGCTGGCTGGACCCTTCTGCATCCTGTGTAAACAAACACGGTTTGAAAGGGAGCCTATGGGAACCTCTGCAAGGCTTTCCCATAGGCTCCTGCATAAATCGGCTGCAGAATTGTGCCATTTATACCCGATGCCTCCGTAATAACGACGACCTTGTCTCTCCTCTGCTGCTTGATCTCTACCAGCTGAGAGGAGGGAATCTGCCTCATCCAGCTGCGGTTGTTCTTTGTACATGAACCACCCAGACCTTACAGGGAGGCTGGGTGTCCTCACGTTGCACGACAGACACACCGTGGTTTACGGCTTACCGGTTAGTCCGCAAAGTGGTGTCCTAAAGACCCTAGCTTGCTCTGCTGGCGTTTGTGCCAGAAAAAGGGAATATTCGCGTGAAACAGCTGAATACACCAAAGGGTTCTACCCGCAGAGTCATCTCCTGGGTCTGCAGGCAGGAAAACTTGTTCCAGCTCCTGTCTTTGTAAGGGCACGTATCCCCCAGCTGTCTTTTACTGCCACAAACCTTCTCCAGCCTTTCCTCTATACCTGCTCCTGCCAAGCTGTGAGAGGGAGAAGCTCAGTAATTAAGAGGCAGGGCAATTTAAGAGGAAGGCACGACTTCTGCACCAATATATTGGTCATTAGCTCAATGCTACAGCGCTTCTGATGAACGGCAGGGTCTCGTGTTTCCAGTCAGACACCATTAACCTGCACGGAAGAGTCAGGCCTCTGCACCTCAATCATCTGTGACCCAGTTTAGAGGTGAACGTTTACAGGGTTCCTGTCATACTTTGAACTGTAAGTGCTTCTGAAGCACCACTAAATCACAGAACTCCCAATGCCTATCATTAGCTCCTCCACAATCTTCTCCCGCGAAGACCACAAAACTTCAGTGTGTCAGAGGAAAAAAAAAAATAAAATAAAAAAAGAGTAAGATTCAACCAATATTTCAGCATTCTTGAACAAAAGATAATGCAGTAGTGCAAAGAACTGAAGACATACACTGCGGTTATCACATAAAATTAAAAGCTTTTTAGTGTTTAAAATAGCATTTACACATAAGCAGCTATATATTAACTATACAGACACTTGGGTTTTAATACAATATCTACAAAAAAGAATTCAATTATGCAATAGACATTTAACAGGAACAGTGCAGTCCATGCTAGTAAGAGGTCACTCTTTGAGTAGAACCAATTCTAGAATAGGTGATAGTCTGGGTTTTCATTATTTAAAATCATGTAACTTTGTTCCTCTACTGTACATAAAATTCTTTACATGTATTTCTAATCACTGATTAGAA